TTTTTCTTGAGGCAATGAAAACTCCTTGGGGACTGCCATTGCTACCTGTTCAGACTCCATGTGGGGACAGGGTCCCCAAGTTGGGAGTCACTGGGTAAGGAACAATTTTGACTCAGCTCCAAGCATCTGTCCGTTGGACACCTGTTCTTCCAAACCACTATAAGGCATATCAGTGGCAGCCAATTCGTCATGCAGATATACTTATTGTACTGTTTAGAGCCAAGTTTTGAATGATGGCTTTTTTTTTTTTTCCCATTTGCAGACCTCTGTTGGGAGGTCCTGTAGAATATTCCTGGATAACCAATATATGGGAGACAATTCCCGATCCAGGGAAGGAAAAGGATGTGTGGAAGGGTTGACCTCACCTCAGTGGATGAAGGGCAGTCTAAGAGAAAGGATTAGGAAGTTGAGATATAGTAATTAGATCTGAAAGAACAGTATATTCTGGTTCTGTGTCTTTTCAAGTGCTGGAACAGGAAGAGAAAGGAAAGAAGATCAGAGGTACAGGACTGCCCATGGGATAAAATCCAGGCCCCTAACATGGAATAAATATCTCTGGTATCCGCCCCACCGTCTCATCTTGCAGCTGGAGCTCCAGCCGCCCTGAACTATTTTCAGTTCCCAGAACGTGCCTTCTCTTCCATACCTCCATGTCTTTGTATATACTATGAACTCTCCTGAGAAAGTACTTTCTGCCTCTTGTCCATATGGAAAACTGCTGAGTACCCTTTAATATTCAGCGGAAATAACTGGCCTTTTATGGAGTGTTCCTGGAGCTTTCCAGGTGTATTAAGTACTTCTTGCTCAGTGCTCCGTGGCCTCTTCTATGTATCTTTGGTGTAACATTCATCACACTGTTCAGGAATTAGTCATTTACCTGCTGTTCTCTTGTTGAACAGGACACTCCTAAATTAGGGTAAAGACCCTGTGTCCTTTTTGTCTCTATGTCTCCTGGACCTAGCACATTTACTGGCTGGAAAACTTCTTTATGATTTCAAAACCCCATTTCTGTAGCCCTTGACTGTCTTCTGTTGACAGATGACCAATGGCCTCACCAATCCCTAGTGTATATTCCTTTTGTTACCAGAATCACCAGCCAATAGCTTGGGGAAGAGTTAAAAGTCAGAACTACAGAGAAAATAAATGGGAGAAACATAAAAAGCAATTCTCTATCTCAACACAAATAAAACATAGAAAGTATGCAGCAGTGTGCTAATAGGTTCATGAAGGTAATCATAATTGTTATTATTATCAAATATTTGCAGAACTTCAAAGGGGGTAGTCCCACTTTTTTTTTTAATGAGAAATTTGGAAGAAAGATTCTTTACAGTCTGGCTATTTTCCCAAATCAGTTGATCTTGAGGTATCATCAGTTTGCAAAAGAGATCTTTGGCTCGCTTCCTCTCCTTCCTTGTCTCCCTCCTCTTCAACATGTTCTGTTGTTATGGCCAGTGAGCAGACTGAAAAGTCTAAAGAGAAGAGGCTTGGAAATCAAGAGAGGTGATTCTAGCCAAAGGACTGAACAAAGAGGGTTTGGATATGGCCTCTGTTGTCACTGGAGCAAACAGGGAAAAGTAAGCAAGAGAGGAGACACTTGCCAATATGATCATCTCTGATTGGAAACCTCAGACATTGGGTCTCTGGTGTGCAGTAGACCTGGAGAGGCCCACCATGTGGAACACGTTAATGACATAAGGTTACCTAAGACTGCTTTTTTTTGTCTGTTAGACAATGAATTCACTTTTAAGAACCTTACGATAAAATTTTACAAAGCTAGGGTAGAATGATGATGAATAAGTAAGCAATGTATTGCTCACGATAAACTTTGAATAGACATCCAAGTGGCTGAAGATGTTAATGGGTAGTTGGCAGAGACTCTTGTACGAGAAGATGAGGGTAGAAATGACTGCCCCTGAGGGGGGACCCAGACTGTTGCAGGTCAGAAATTCCGTGACCAGAACAGAAGAAACCAAAGGAAAACTGAAACCCCTCTGAGACCTGAGTCAAGAAAGGCATAAGGAGCTATAGAAACAATTCCCAAGTCTCCAGTACTAAAGGATTCCTTTTGTCTGCAGAGTCTTGATTTTACATCAAGTTGCTTTTCTCAGTTTTAGGCTGGCTAAAATTCATGAAATAATGGTGCAGTAGTAAAATATAGGGCAAAAATTTACTCCTTTATTTATTCATTCAATGCATACAAATAGAGATCTGCCCATGCAACAGGCAACAGACCTTAAGCACCGGGACACAGAGAAACAAAGTAGACACACTAGTGGCAAAGAGAGTCACGGCACACCACCAAATCCTGATATCTAGCACTAGTACTTTCTAACAATTAGATCTATCCGATGAAGCTTAATGGAGTTTGAGGACAAATAAGATGTGGCATAGAGTAAACAAATAGGATTAATTTTTCTAAAAAGAGATATGCTTTGCATATATGAGTAGATTCGGGAAGTAGCTGGGATAAATCTATGAGAGATGGATCCACAGCAAAGCGTGGTGAGGGATGTGTGGTCTCAGTCATTATTTTTCAGTAGTCATGGCCCCTCCCCTACAACTCCACCGCCAAAATGAACCTTCTGACAGACCCCTGGACTGGATGGACAGTAGCTGTGTCATATGTGGCGTCTTGTACATGACATTCTTAACAGCTAAGGAAAGTCTTCCTGATGAGGATGTGGAAAGTGTCTGTCACTGTCAGCATTTACTCACTGGTAATGGAACCAGAAAGTACAAGTTTCATTAGAGATTTCAGCCCAAGGTCAGAAAGAACTTTCTTAACATCTATTAGAAAACTGAATGTTTTCCTTGGGAAATACCCCAGCAGGGGCTGGATAACCATCCAAGATGGCATCCCAGGAAGAGGAAGTAGGTGATACCAAAGAACTTTCCCAATTTTTAAATCTATGATTCTACAACTCAGTCTTTCAGTTGGATTTTAGATTTGGACAGGTGGGTAAATGGTCACTGTCCTATATAGCGTTGATGGCTTAAATAAAATTATGAATGCCTTTGCCACAGTCTTTTTGCCTGTTAGGAAGATGAAATCAAAGTTTTTCTATTTCCTGAATAAATATGACATGGGCAGTATATCAGTGTGTAACTGTTACTTCACAATCATCTGTCACTTTATTGTGAAATGAGAAGGGACTGTTCTTTGTCCTTGAGCTAATATTTTGTCCCTCGTTGGTACAATGTTCCTGGGAAGAATGGAATAGAAGGTGAAACCACAAAGGGCTTGCCATCTGCAGTGAGCCTCCTGTGCCATTACAGGGAATCCTAAGATGTTCTGATGGGTGGCCAACATTCCAGAACAAAGCAGTGAGATCCATGCCTGACCTATCTCTTTCTTATATGCATCAAAGCTCGGCATGGCTTTATCTGCCTATCCTCTTATTATTCTGAACTCCCTAATTGCCTGGACTCTTTCTCTCCACAAATAGTTCCATGTACTGTATTCAGCCTTAATGTAGGTGACTATGTGGACATGTCTTCTATTCCTACTTTTAACAGATTAACAGCTAATAAACACCATGCAACACCCTCTCTTCTAAAAATACAGAGTTTGATTTGCCAACATTGGTGTATTTAAAGCCTCCAAGATTCCAGGGAAGACTTTAGAAAGTTAACTGTGCAAGTAAAGCCTGTTCAGAGAGGAAATTTTCCAACACAAACAGCAGCAGCTCATCTGAGAAGAACCTCAAGGTGTCTTCTAGTCATTTGTAAGGAAAGGATATTTGTTCTCGCTTAAAATATAGCTTCTCACTTTATTCTTGGTCTGCAGGACTGAAGAGAACTCTGGAAGTGTATTGCCTAGGGAGGAAGACAGGCACCATAAGTTTCATCTCAAGAGGGAATGCTTGTCTTTTGCAGGAAGGGACACCATGTTACCTTCTAGTAACTTTGCAATGAAAGGACAATGCCACCTACTCTTCTCTACCCTCCTTGTCCATAGTCCCTGTACTTCTGCTCCTTCCACTTAGATAGAAGTGAAGCAGTTAGTTTTAAAGAAAAGTCAATAATCAGAAGCTTTAACAAAGTTAAAAGTTCAAAGCTTTAAACGAAGCCCCAACCAATACTCTGTTTTGAGGATATGGAATATCAGCAAGAATATGACCGACATAACTTGGATAGTTACGTTGAATTGATGTCCATCAGTACCTCATATATATGATAGAGAGAATTTATTGAAGGGTAAGGTAGGCAGTGTGTGCATATTTTAATTAATGGAACCTCCAGTATCAATGAAACAGAAGCCTTAATGTATTTGTAAAATATTGGATGTTTCCTGAGGTCCGACGGTCTCATGTATGTGACCCTCAAACACCAGCTTGGTTATTAGATTATAAAATACAGATTAGTATTTAGAGAAATGTATTGGCCTTTTTGCATGAGGTATAATTTCTGGGACCAAACCCTTTCTTTGCCTTCAGGTGGGCATTTTTTGTTGTGGCAGAAACTCAAGTATATTTGCTTGCTTACTTCTCCTTTTGTTTCTATTGCCCTACTTGTCTCTGTTGATTTAAGCGAATTGACAGTTCCCTGGACTCCACATCCCCACTGGTAGAGTTGACTCTGGGGCAGGCTGTGTCCATGTACTGCGGTAATGATGATGATATTGTCCTATGCTTGAGAAACAGTCAGTGCCACTCTCGGCTCAACTCTGGTCATGGTATTAGTGACCTTGACCTTTAAAAATGCATAGTTTTTTTCATGCAGACCGGACCTCCTTTGAAGAAAGCTCAGAGTAAAATTCCATCATAGTTATGACTTGCTGGCACATAATCTGAATTGGGTTAATTTCTTCTTCCTTATGCATTTCAGTGTCATCTGTTCCTTGTGCTCTTCTAGACGAATTTCCTGGGCGGTGAGGGGGGTGATGTCTCTCAATCCTATGTATATACCACTTGTCAGACAAACCACTGCAGGATCTTTAAAAAGTCAGTGCGTTTCTTGGCATGATTTATAATTTTCTTTGTTGGCTTTTCTCTCTGCAGAACCGGACTGGAAGCCATCATGGAGACTTACGCGTTCTGGAGACCCCCTGTGCGCACACTCACCTTTGAGGATTTCACCACCATGCAAAAGCAGCAAGGTAACACCCTGGGCCGTGGCCTCTTCTTAGTGATAGTGCCGGGGAGAGAGTGGGAGTGGAACTGAATACAGCACATCTGGCCCCAAGCCAAGCCATGGGTTACACCGATTCTTCTCGAATGAAGAGTACTTGGTAGCTCTGTAAATAACCAAAGCATAACCACTTGTGCAAACAAGCCGGCTCCAGATGCAGCATCCTCTCCCCCTTCCAAAAAGCAAGGTTATGTTCATGATTATGATGGGGGTGAAATTATTATTTCTATGCCTAAGCATTCACATAGCCCTTGGTATTCGAAGAACTACTTCATGATAATTTCATTTATTCCTTATGGAAGCCTTATCAGTTTTCTTATTCTGGTTTTGTAGAGGAGAAAAAACTCAGTCCAAACAATGGGAATGAATTGCTTAGATCTGAGAGTGAGGAGGGGACCACTGCAAGCCCATCTGAATTTTGCAACTTGGGCTCCCTCCTTTTTGGCTGAACACCTGGACAGACACAACACCTATCTTAAGTTGATGGGCCGGGTGAACATTTTCCTTGCACTGCTTTGTGCTTTACTTCCAGTTTCTCCCTTCTCTGGCAGCTCAGGGTGGGAAGCCTGTGGCCTTAGCACAAATGGCTCGTGGGCTGACCTCAACTCTTTTCCTCAGTCAGTGGCTCTTCCCAGCGCAGGACCCCTTCGCCTCGGGAAGCTTTCCAGAGTGTCAGACACTTTATGAGTCTCTCTCCAACCTCCTCCTGCCCCAAAGTGACACTGGTCAAAATTACAGACAGAGCTTACTCTGTTCTGTCACACGGCTGCCATTAATGGAACCCTAAGTTTTGAAATTGTGGCTCTGCCATAGGAGAAACCCTTCTAGGACTTGATAATACATTATATTACATTCCCCTCCCAGAGGAGCTTCTGGTAGTTTTCACACTAAATTAGGTTTTGTAATCTAAATTATTGAAGTCTCTCAGGTTTTAAGATGAAGAAGGCGATTAAAAGGATAGGAGCTGGGGGCAGACCACTTGGGTTAGGCTCTTATCACTGCTCCTTCCTAGCTTTGTGACCTTGGCCAAGTCTCCCATCCTTTCTGACACTTAGTTCTCTCCTCTGCAGAATGGAAGAATATAGTAGAATTCTCGTGAGGCTTAAATGAGACAGTGCATTTAAAAACAGAGTAGGCATGCACTACATGCTAGCAGTTGTGGTGGCGGTGATGCTCATTGTCGTCACCATCGTGACCACCACCATCTCCATTCCCTCATGTCGCTGTACATGGATACCTGAGAGGAAGATGCCTCAGGGACAAGAGATACTGCCTTTCTGATGATTAACTATTTTTAAAGCATGATTAGACCATTCATCTTCATAGGGATCTGGTGAGACAAGTGATGCAGAATTTCCTTCTGTTTTTTCTCAATAAATGGCCAAGAAATGGAAGCCCTCTGCATGAAGCCAACTTTCTCCTCATAATCCTGTGAGAGAAGCAGGCTCAGTACATATTCAGGGTGCTGCTTTTGCTCTGAGGCCCTCATGGCCCTTAAGACGCAGAGGTGTTAGGACAGTTGGGAGATCTGGGCCCTTCATCTTTGATGGCCACTAACTCTCTACATAACCTTGGCTTCTAGTGAGTCTGTTTCCTCACCTGCCAAAGAAGGGTAACTTTTCGTGTGGTCATGTATATAAACATGCTTCATAAATGAAAAATGGGTCATTTTCATGCAAAGACACTTGATCCTGTTTATTTCCGAGGTGGCTTCTTGCTTCTCTGCCCTTGCTTTCCTCTCTGACTGTCCAAGCTCGAGCTAATCAGGCATTTTGTATCATGGAGGCTGGTGTGAGAAGGTTTTGGCAGAGATATTGCCAGTTCCTGAGAGCAGGCATTGGTGGAGACATTGTGTTCACTGCTGTGCTCTCGAGAACTGTCACTGGGCCTGGCAGCCAGGAAGTACCTAATGAAAGGAGGTAGGCCGGGTCACTGACACACGGGCCTGGAGCACACAACCACCTGGTATGTGTGTGGATATGGATGTGGAGTGATGATTGGGGTTGACAGTCTGCATTTCACCAGCATGTGGGGTGGTTGAGCAGGTGTTGACTCTTAGAAAACAGTGGTTTAAGAGAAACTGAGCTTTCTTTCTTTTTTAAATTTTTTATTTCTTTTCTTGTATTTTAAAAATTATTTTTTTTATTTTTGTTTTTAATTTTTTAAAAGATTTTATTTATTTATTTATTTATTTATTTATTTAGAGAGAAAGAGAGCACAAGCAGGGGAGGGGCAGAGAGAGGGGGAGAGGGAGAAGCAGACTCCCTGTTGAGAGAGGAACTCAACGAGGGGCTTTCAGCGATCATGACCTGAGCTGAAGGCAGATACTTAACTGACTGAGCCACCCAGGCACCCCTATTTTTAATTTTTTTTAATTTAAATTTTAGTTAGCATACCGTGCAATATTGGTTTCTGGGGTAGAATTCAGTGATTCACCACTTATATACAACACCCTGTGCTCATCACAACAAATGCCCTCCTTAATATCCATCACCTACCTAGCCCTTCACCCCACCCATCTCCCTCCATCAACCCTCAGTTTATTCTCTATTGCTAAGAGTCTCTTAGGGTTTGTTTCCCTCTCTCCTTTTTTTTTATTTTTGCTTTTCCTGCTTTCCATATGTTCATCTGTTTTCTTTCTTAAATTCCACATATGAGTGAGATCATATGGTATTTGTCTTTTTTCTGACTGACTTATTTCACTTACTATAATACTGTCTAGCTCCATCCACATCATTGCAAATGGCAAGATTTCATTCTTTTTGATGAGTGAGTAATATTCCTCTGTGTGTGTATGGTATATTCTTTATCCAGTCATCAGTCGATGGACATTTGGACACTCCATAGTTTGGCTATTGTTGATAATGCTGCTATAAACTTTAGGGTGCATGTACGTCTTCAAATCTGTATTTTCATATCCTTTGGGTAAATGCCTAGTAGTGCATTTGTTGGGTCTTAGGATAGTTCCATTTGTAACATTTTGGGGAACCTCCAAATTGTTCCCCAGAGTGGCTGCACCAGTTTGCATTCCCACCAACAAGGCAGGAGGGTTCCGCTTTCTTTGCATCCTTACCAACACTTGTTTCTTGTGTTGTTGATTTTAACCATTCTGACAGGTATGAGGTGGTATCTCATCATGGTTTTGATTTGTTATTTCCCTGATGATGAGTGATGTTGAGCATCTTTTCATGTGTCTGTTGACCATCTGGGTGTGTTCTTTAGAAAACTGTCTATTCATGACTTCTGCCCATTTCTTAACTGCATTATTTGTTTTTTGGGTGTTGAGTTTGGTAAGTTCTTTATGGATTTTGGATACTAACCCTTTATCAGATATGTCATTTTCCAAGTATCTTCTCCCATTCCATAGGCTGGCTTTTAGTTTTGTTGATTGGAGAAACTGAACTTTCGAAGCAAAATGTCACACTTATTTAGTGACTCCATTTTAGTGTGTGTGGGGGGATGAACTTGGAATTATTGGATACATATGGTAGTGGGATTGGGGCTAGAGGAAAAGCCAAAATTCTATTAAATTGTTTAATTGGGGTACATTTTTGAACTATATACTGAACTTGATCCAGATTCTCATTATTAAACAATACGTGGCTTGGTTTCTTGACGTTAACAAAGGATGTAAAAGAAACAACATCCACTCCCTCTTCCCTTAAGAACTGAGAGTTCCAGTAACTATGGACACTATCACTCATAAAATGAAGAAAAGAGACAGAGCCATCTCTGTTGAACTGTTTTGTGTCTTAGAAGAAGTAGAGAGTGTTGAACTTCTAGTGGAAACTTCAGTGGCTGACTGAGTTTTGTAGTAATTCCCTTTTGGTGAAGAGAGTATTGGGAGCATTGGCACCAAACTTAAGCTCCACATAATGATTGACTCACCCAGGGTCCATATAACCTCACTGCTTCAAACACATGAATATCTGGCATGTCACATCTGCAGCCCTGGGCCAGTTTTGTGCTCCTGCTGCTGCTGCTGCTGCTGGAGGCTGGATCCACTCTTCTGTCTGAGCGAGGTTAGGATGCTGCTTTTTTCATCCCACCCTTGCTGTCATTTTTATTTCTCTTTCATGAAGACCCATTTGTTGATAAAATTTCAAGGAAAGCACCTTAGTTGAATTAGCCACCGTTTTGCCAAACCTCAGATCTTTCTATTTCAGAAATTATATTGAATGGGTGGTCTGTATGGTTGTTTTCTCCGATGGAGAAGATTGCATGGGATTCATCCTCCTCTGCCTTTCACACGAGAAGAAACCAAGGCACAGAGCGGTCTGCTCACACGTCTGCAGCTAAGCGGTGGCAGAAGTGAGTTGAGGATTCCCAAGTGGATCTCCATCTTGACGGGGCACTTGCCTTTCCACCCAGACCACATTTGCTTTCTTCATTCCTACTTACTAGAGCTTTAATTCGCCACAACATTTTTTTTTTTAAGTTTACTCTTACACTTGATATTTTCTTGTCAACAACTTGAGCATTAACTCTAAATAGGTCAGTATTTTATTTTTGTCAAGTCAAGTGTCTGGTCTTACCTTCAGACCTCTTCATTGAGAATCGGCAAGGGAGTTTATACATTTGGAGAGTCTGGAGATAGGGATTATGTTTCCGGAGTGGCTTCTGCCTGAACACTGCTAGTGGCGGGGACAAAACGAACTAACCACGTAAGTGCTGCTTGGGGGATGTTGACTGAGGCAACGCAGATGGAGAAGGAAAAAGAAATAAGAGCCCAGGCCAGTTATGGCCAAGTGCAGTTCTGTTGTTCTGATGATATATACTGTAGAGCTACTTGTTTGGCCCAAACTGAGGGAGCTTCTGTGAGCACCATCCATCTCCACAGGGTCTGACAATGGTTGTACTATAAGGAACCATCCTGGACCAGTGACACCAGAGCTGGCAGGAAATCTCCATCTATGGAAGTAAGGAGACCTGTCATTTACAGAAACCCTCCCTTCTCCTCAACTGGTA